ATGAAGGAGACATCTGATGGGGGGGCGTGTGATTTATAAGCTTTAAGTTTTGAGGTTGTGAACTCTGTGCTACACTGACCTTCCTACAAGCTATACCTGACTTCAGTATTTTCTTTCCTTATATTCTACTGTGGAAAATTAAGAGTGTCTGTGCTGTAGAGATTTTTAAACAGAAATTCAGGCAACTGTGCCAGTTCAAAAGGGGCTTTCAATTAAATAAATCTTTTATTTTGAAAATGAACTTCTTTTTTAATTAGCCTTATCTCAAGGCTCCTTCCATGCAGTGCAAACATGCTGTGGCTCCCAGCTGCAAGTCTATGTGAAGTTTCAAGTGATTGGCTTAAATACACAAGACTTAGCTTTCCCCAAATGTAACAAATAATGTTTCTTCACCTGTCCACTTCTAAGCCTGCTTCACACGTTTCACAGCAACCATGAGAGAGAGATTTACTCTTCTTATTTCATGTGGTGCCTGTCACTTGTGATCTCCTAGTCCCTGTAGCTGAGAAAAATAACCTCAAGTGGGGCCAGATGTGGTGAGGTGGAAGCACTCCTCCTTGGTTCTGATTTTCTTAAGGATCTGCCTTTGTGAAAAGTGGATGTGACCTGTACTACGTAGCACTGTTCTGCTAAGTATACTCAAAAGAGGTTAGAAGTTGTTCAAACCTATGTGCTCTGGTGTAGACCTGAGTTCACAGCAGTCCCTGGCATACAACAGGGAGGTGAGGAAGGAAAAGGTCAGCACAGAGAACAGTGCCCCAAGGAGAAATGTTCCAGATGGCTGTAGAGGACATAACTGAGGAGCCAGTGTGAGGTGCTGCTTTTGTCCTTGGCTCTCTCAAGACTTTGTGCTGGCCACCTGTCCTGGTCCCTCTCTTAACATGCTCCTCATTGACCAGTTTCACTCCTGGGACCATGAAGAGGCCAAGTGAGCTTCAGTGGATCGTTGTGAGGTTGGGCAGGAGCTGAATTCCCTTGGAGCCATGGCACTGACTGCAGTTCACTCCATGACATTTCTCTGTGCCTGAATGCCTTTCACCCAGCAGAAAACTGTACACCTTGAAGGAAGTACACAATGTATGTAAACTGTGGAGACACAGCAAAAATAAATCTGTCTGTTTAAAAGTATAATGGCAAATAATAATCATCATCATTGTTCTGCATGAATAATCTCTCTTGAAATCCTCTTCATGCACATGCATTTTTATTGCTTTTATCCATCCCCCTCATTCACTTCCTAGTGCAAAGCCTTTCCAGAGGATTTGCAATAGCCTTTCTTTTACCACAAACACTTTGATTTAGGAGTACTGCTGCCTGTTATTGCTACATTGGTGGAGAAATGAAATGTTTATGGACTAATCTATACCATCCTCCCAAACCATAGATTTGGGTAATGAAAAGTTCAGTTTAATGCTTTAATAAAGCATGGTCTGATATGTACTGTGCCAGTTAATCTAGAAGGTAGATGTGAGAGCAAGATTTTATATTTTCAGCAGTATTTCAGACTTCATTTTGAAGTAAGTGTAAGTGCCTTGGTAAAGGAAAGTGTTGCACATTTCATTATGAAATAAAGGAGGAATAATAGGTTGCTAAGGAAGCATTTCTTCTTCATTACACATTTGAGCACTTCCTTGTGCCCCTGTAAAAGCCTCCCCAGCATAAGAAGGGAGTAGATTTAAATCTGTAGAAGATAGTACTTGGAAGAAAAGTGTTTGAATGTGTCATGTTTAAAGCCTGAGAATTGGTTGAAAATCTGCTAAAGTGGAATGATTGTTCTTGTAATAATGGCATGAAATACCATGAAGAGGGCAGCTATGGGAAGAGGAATATATTTTGGTATGGAAGCAAGTTTACATCACTGTGAGGGTTACGCTTGTGGAGTTTGTTCAGACAGCAGTGTTGTACATGCTGTGGCTTTTTCAAACCTCAGTACAAACGGAGAGAAGATGGATGTGAAGGCTTAGAGGGCTCAGTGATGTGAACAGCCAAGTTTGCCTGCCAGAAAGAGGATGTCTTCACCAAACTTTCTCTTCTTGGGTTTGCTATCACAGCATGAGGGTCAGATCTGTGTGAAGGACCCAGGTGATGTTCTGTAGTGATGCCAGGCACCTCAGTAATAGGAAATGATCACTCATGTTGCTGTTGTGTAGAAGTGTTGGTGGCGTCTCCAAATAAGTGGCAAATTTTCAGAGCCTTGGGCTGATGCTGTGAGGGTCAGTGAGTTTATATGCTGCTCCTGCACTGTTTGGGTCAAGTGCACTTTCTAATCTTTCTTGCTCTAGGGAAGAGTGATGCAGCTGTTGTGCTTCCTTGGTTTCTTAGCCTGTGTGTAGGAAGAAGAGAGGGTTGTGAGGAGACGCATCTGAACAGCCTTTGCCCAAATGAGCTTAGGGCAGTAGGTGGAGCATGCTGTGTACAACACTTGGATGCTCTAAGACCAGTAAATAACTCCTGGAACATCAGACACATCTGACTCCTGTGTTTTGTTGCCATGGATAAATTCCTCTTTCTATCCATCTGGTCTCTTTTTCTGCACAGAACTGCACCAACCACTGGCTGGAGACCATTCTTCTAAACCAAAGTCTAGTTCAACACTAGGGAGAGCATCGATGGAGTGCAGAAACAGCTCTTCATTTTAAGAGCCCAGTGTCCCTGTTTTTGACACTCCTGCATGTAAGAGGAAAGCATCTGTAATGCAAGTGGGACAATGGGGACAGGAGACAGTGTCTGATGGTCTCTTTGGTGGGTGTTGATAATGTGAATGGCTGTGCAAGCCCATTTGGGTCTGGGATATGTCCAAAGCAAACCACTGTGAGTAGTTCAAAACAGCTTCTGCCTTTTCCTAGCTGAGGACCTGACCCTCAAGTGGTGCTAGACACAGGGGCACTGCTGCTCTTGCAGTTCCCTGCCCTCTGAAATCCATCCAGTGTGTATAGATCCCCCTCTTGGAGGGGCTTCTTGGCTATCCAAGGCCTGGCAGAAACAACCATGGAGGTGTCGTTGCTCAAATGTGTGGTGGTAGCTTGCTCTCAGTGAATACAGCCTGTGTCAAGAGCAGAGTTTCATTCCTGGGCTTGGTGACCACCTCTCCTTAACTGTTCTGACCTTTCTGCCTGGGTTTTGTAGGCTGCCTGCTCATGGTGCTGGTCTAGTGCTGCGTACCAAGGACCAGAGTTCTGCAGCTTGACCTTTCCCTGGGGATTTAGCCCTGCTCTCGAGGAGAAACTCAGTTGTGCTGAGTAATGGAAAGTATGTTCATTAACAATGTTCTATTTAAAATACAAAGCAAATGGAATGGTGGCAAGAGGTGTCAGATGGCAGGGACTGAGAATGACTTTTTCTATTTGGAGCCTGAGCAGATGCAGGGCAGCCTTTTCCAGCTGCTCTTTGTGGGTAAAGGAGGAGCTTGCTTATGGGGCATCATGTAGGGACTGCAGTGGTGGTACTTGTGTGCAGTATTTCTCTCCTTTGGTGAACAGAAAAGTAGCCTTTTTTGAGGAACTTTCCCCAGGACAATGCTCATATTTCCAGTATGGAGACAGTAAGAGTGTTTACCACTTCTTTGGTCAAACTGTTCCAGTGCCTCACCACCCTCACAGTAAAGAACCTGAACTTTCCCTGTTTTATATCTAACCTGAACTTCCCCTGTTTTAGTTTGAACCCATTACCCCTGAATGTGAATTTTTACAAATGAGTGGCTTGAAGATCTGTCTACTTCTTCAGTGATGAAGAGTCATCCCATTTGGCTTGTGCTGGGGGTTTGGGCCCCAAATATTTCAGAAATTAATAAAACTTGTGATTTCAGCTAGGAAAACACAATGGAAATTTCAGCCTTTCCTTTTGGGCTGTGTCCAGTTTCAGACTAGCCTGGTTCTGTGCCTACATGTCAATGCAGTGTGACAGGGCAGTGTAAAAAGGAGGCTGACAGCATATATGGTGGGATGTTTTGGGTTTTGTTTGTTTGCTTTCCCAGCAACTGAGATCTATTGTGTGTATGTGTGTAGGCACTGTGCTGAGGAGCAGCAGGGTGTCTAGCAGTCCCTTGAGAAACACCCTATAAATAACTTGCTTTAATGTGTTTCTCACTTATTTTGGCTGCCTTTTTAGGATGAGGCTAAATACCAACTTCTATCAAGTGTTTCCCACTGTGCATGTGGCAGCCCTAAGCCCCTATAAACTACCTGCTGGCATAAGTCTCTGGGCAGGTATAATTCAGAGGTTTGCCCCACTGTACCTGCTGGCACTTGAATTATGGTTATCTCATTCATAGTAACTTCAAATGAAATTGGAATGTAATAGAACAATCTGCCACTTGGATGGGGATTAAGGCAGTTTCAGGAATGCTTAAGGAAAAGAGAGAGGAGCTACATTTAAGGTTAGGGTGTGTGGGTAATGATTTCCCTGGGCTATTCCCCTGTCACTGCACAAGAAGTAGTTGGACTCCCCTTGCATGGCCCAGGGAGTGATGGCCCCAGGGCTGGTTTCCAGATACAGAATACTTTGGGGCAGCTGGCAGCTCTGGTTGCTTTTTCTAGTTGTCCATAAAGCTGTAAACAGACACAGTAGCTAGGATCCTGTCCTTGCAGTGCTCTGGGCCTGCTGTTGCAGCATTATGCAGGAAGTTCTGTTGGGAAACCCAACAAAATCTCTTCCATGGGCCACCCTGGCTGCTTTTGGGTCTTGCCTGGTGCACAAGGTGCCACCCTGGGAGCTGTTCTGACACCAGCTACCAGGTCTCCTTCTCCCAAAACTTTAAGTGCTGATGCAGGTGATAGATCCTTCATTACTCCTCCTCCCGGTCTCCAGATAAAACACTTTTCATTCAGATTAAGTGGAGTGACCTGGAGATGTCTGTCTTTTTTTAACTTTTTTTTTTTTTTTTTTTGTAAAACTTTATTTTGTGAAATACAATATACAGAGAAAACAAATCAGGTTCTGAGTGCTGCTTTGAGTGTGTTGGAACAGGTTTAGGGGAATAAAGGTACTTCGTAGCCACAAAATGACCACAGGGATTTACTGATGCTTTATTTTTTCCAAGAGATTCCATCGTTTCAATGCAAACAACATGGAAAGAGATGCTCGGGATGATTGGATCCTGTTTTATTCCATCGAGCTTGCCTTGGTAAAAGTTCATGGTTTTTAAATCGAAGTATAGTGACCCAGAGGTGATACCTATGGATGGATAGGTAAAACTGGTGGGGTCAGAGGCACGTATCATCCAGTTCTATGCCATTTCCATGTTGATGGTGACAGACTGAGCAAGAATTTCAGGCAGATCTTGAGTGCCATCTGGTCTTCCTGAATTTGGCTTGTCCTGGGAAGGAATGGGAGAGTTGGACTTGAAGCTGGCTGAGGAGACACTTGCAAAATGACAAGCCGAGCCTTTGAGTTCTGTTTTGAGGTGTTTGTTGCTTCATACAAGAGTTAGCAATTCTTGGGACAGAATAACAGATCAAATAAAACCACAGACACACAGTATTTTATGTCTGCATTTTAAATACAGCTGCTGGGTTTTTCTTTGGACAAAACAGCAGCATATCAAGGTTGCGTGAGGTTTTCTGTTTAGGTGGGTTTTTTCTTCCTACTTGCAGAAGAACTGCTAAATGAGTGGGTACTTCTGAAGCCCTCTTTGACTATTGATCATGACTGTTAAAATACTCATTTTCAGATAATGATTTTGTTTGAAGAGCTGTTCTGGCTAGTTCACACAAGTATGCAGGCTACATAGTTTGTTACAGATTTCTGTAACAAATTATTAGAAGGTGTTGCTTTGATTTCCTTTAAAAAAACCCAAACAAACCACAAAATCCCAAGGTGCTTGTAGGATAAATATCTCAGGCTGTCAGTTTGCACAGCTCAAACTCTGATTTTGTGTGACAACAAGATATAGGGTGATATTTAAGCATGAGCATCTCTATGCTTGTGAATAAACTGAGCATTTCTTTTCACAGTTTGGGTATGTATGAAAAATCAACTAAACACAGTTTCCAACCAGTTAGGGAGCTGTGAATAAGACCTAGGGATCTGCACTTCTGTTTTCTTTGCTCTTACACAACAGCCTCATTTTGTTCTATTTGGACTATTGGGGAGAAGGTGTCATGTTGGTTTTGTAGCTTATACTTGGCCTTGGGCATGTAGAAGGCTTTAAGCATAGCAAACAGACCAGGTTAAGTGTGCAAATGGGAAGCACATACCTTTTGGCATCTGGGGAAGTCCACTTAGACAGACAAGATGTGCTTTACAAATGCTGTAGGAAAATAGATATGCTAGTTAGAAGGAGCAGCAAAATTTAATTTGGGAAATACCTTTAAAAATAACAGCTGTTCCTGAGCTGATGGCATTAAAAACACATGCTCCTGATCACATTTGACCCAATGATGTGATAGAAAGTTTGAAGTGTTTAAATTCTCTTAAGTGTGGTAAGACTAAATCTATGATGAATAGAGCACTTTTTCTAAGCATTAGCTGTAGGATTGGTTCCAATCACTGCAACTGCTCTACAGAAGGTCAGAGAGTTTAGAGATCTGGTGTTGACCAAAGTAGCCTTCTCTGTGGCTGAATCTAGTCCTTTGAGTGGTGTGACTTGCAGGCTAAGCATGTTGCAATAGTCATTTTCATACATAAGCCTTTCAACCTCACTCAACTGTAGCTTTGTATATTTGCCTGAGAAGCTAAAAGCAAACTGCAATGAAGCTCTGTGAGAGAAAGAAGAAAGGTAGGATGAGAGGGTGTTGAGCTCTTGCACCTACCCTCATAGTTGATGCAGCCATTGGAGTCTTCCTGACCTTTCATGAGTTCATCTACTTCCTCTTCTGTCATCCTCTCACCTGGAGAGTTGAGAGACCTCTGTTAATTCTTTCACAAACAGACAACTGAACCCTACAGCTTTTCCAAAGGCTTTCCTTGTTTCCTCAGTTAGTAACAAAAAAGACCTATACATGAGCTGAGCATAGTAATTTTAACTTTCAATAGAAGCTTTACATGTGCATAGACACAAGCATTCCAATTACTCCTACAGAGTAAAGAAATTATGCAGAAAATCCTCTACCTTTGTCCATGTGTATTATGCCACTGAGGTGTGCAGCCTTTTTTCCCTGTTCTTCATATAACAGGCACTCAATACCTACTCTGAATTTAGAAGTAATAAACCAAGCCTTTTCCTTTGGCCTTTCTACTGAGTTTTGTGTTTGCTTTCCATGTGGGTTACCAGTTAGGAAACCCAGTTTTGTTTGGCTTGGTAGCCTCCTACCTCCAAACTGGTTAGAATATCCTTCCTCCCTCTCTCATGCCATCTAACAGCAGCAATTTTTAAAGTGCTGGCAGAGAAGATAATCCCTTACCCAGCGTAGCCAGTACGTGGCGGAGCTCAGCCCCCATGACTGTGCCATTGCCTTCCTTGTCAAAGACACGCAGACCTTCAACGAAGTCTTCATAGGTACCCTGCTCCTTGTTGTTAGCAGCTGCTTGCAACATGGGCAGGAACTCCTCAAAAGTGATTTTCTTGGCATTCATCTCTGGAAAGAAAGCACCAGTTGCTACATGCTAGACACTTCTATGCGTGTTCTTTTGGGATATTTGCCCTGAAGTGTGGGAGAGCCTCCCGCCTCGTCTGCACTTCTCTTTTTGTCCTTTAGTCTTTGCCTCAGGGTTTGGCAGTTCCTTTGCAGAACCTGCCTTCTCTCTTATCGTGGGAGTCAGTGTGCTTATGTGCGTGTTGTGTTTCTCTTTCAGCAATGAAACTAGCTGGGTGAGTTGATCTTTGAAAGGATTGTGTGAGCGAGGAGACTAGGGAATACAATAAACCAGAAATCTTCAGCCCAAATAGCGGGAGAAAAAGTAAACAGAGTGGGATGTTGCAACTTAGGTGAGTCGCTGAGGTTGCTGGCATGTTCCTGACCTCTTCAGGGTCTCTTGGATGTGGTAGCAGAGACTATTAGCACAAGAACAAACTAATTAAAAATATGAATGTCCAGTGGGGGTGGTGTCCAGATTTGCTATTGACATGTTCAGTCTGGAGGTTTAAGGACTCGCAAGCTTAGTGCATCTAACCCCTTTGTTCTCATGAGCCAGAAGCTGCCCTTGGTGAGGCCTTCCCCAAAGATTTTCTGTTGGAGCAAGGCTGACAAATAAAAAGATCTTTACTTTTCTTTTTACTTTTTCTTTTTTCCTTCTCCTGGATCTTTCCAAAGAGCAGCTTTCATCTGGGCAGCAATGAAATATAATAGGTGGAAATATGCAAGAGATTCTTGACTATACAGTTGTTACAGGAACCATTTTGCTACTCAGCTATATCAAAATCACTGGCAGTTATTGCTGTAGTCACCTAAAGTGTTGTCATGGTCTCACCTCTGTTTTAGTCCTCTGCTCAGTGCTTCCTGCTTGTGCTAATGCTTAACTTGGCCCTTCTGAATTGTTCCTCAGAGCCGCGTTTGCCTGGCCTGAAGATTTGGATGTAATTTAGCCCATCTCAATATGGTTCAGTGTGACTGAAATCAAGGATCACCTGGACTAGGTCCTTGTTAGGAGGTGACCACAGTTTTTTACCATTTCTTTTGTCTCTAAGAGGTGAGAAAAAGAAATGGAAAATTACCGTTGTATAAATGGCCACATACCTGAGCATGCCCTAGTTTGTAGGAGCTTTGAACAGACCACCCCAGCCAACAGGATATTTTCTGCTAGGTTTCTGGTCCCAGAGCATGTCTTGGTTTATGCAAAAGATCCTGCACTGGAAGGACCTGAAGAGTATCAACTATTGGAAATGGACTTAGCAAGGGCTGGGGCATAAACGGACTGCATTGCACCTACAGCAGGTTGGCACCAAAATGGTCCCTGCAGGGACTTCTCCACATCCTAAGGAGGTTTTCCTCTTCCTGAGCACGGAATTCATCCTCTTCAAAAGGAACTGGAGAAATTCCATTCCCTTTCAGAGCAAAAGCTCCTCTCCCTCCTTCTGTGACTGCTGATGTTGCCTAACAACAGTTCCCCAGCCTCAGGAAGGGCCCAGGAGACACTGTGGGATACTCACCCTCTTTGCTGGGGTTGCCCAGGATCTTGTTGATCTCGGCATTTGTAGGGTTCTGTCCCAGTGCCCGGATGATATCACCAACCTGGCTCAGGGTGATCTTGGCATCACCAGTCCTGTCAAAGAGGAGGAAGGCCTCCTTGAAGTCTGCAAGGGAAGAGCAACAGTTAAAACTGAGCCAGGCAGCTCCTTATTGACAAGTTGTATTGACAAAGTGCTGTCTCCTGGCACTGCTCCACCAGCTCCAGAGGAACCAGCCAGGGGAACCTTTGGCCCACAATCCCAAGAAAAACTCGTCCCCTCTGACATTTTGGTTTCACTATTTTTAAACTTTTATATCTACATTTCATAGCTTTCCTGGATCTAATAGCTATCAATAGCTTTCTGATTGACCCCATGGTTATTTCAAGCACGGGGCAAGATAAGTTTTCTACAGACACTGCCATTCAAGAACAGGTGTCTTTGCATGACACAGCAGCAGAAGGTACCAATGTTGTTATCCAGTCCAGCTTATCTCACCAAGGACTGGGATTCTTCTGTCAAAGCACCTTGCAGTGCAGTCCTGGTATTTCCACTACACAGTGCTAATGGGAAACATGAAGGTGGATTTCAAATGCTTCCACTTTTGTTTTCCTTTAAAGTTGCTTTACAATGACATTTCAGCCCATGCTTGTCCCCTCTCTTCTCCGCTCTTTGCAATCTGTCCCTGCTTCTTACAGATGCACAGATATCTGGTTTTCCAGTGGTAATACTTGTGTGGTGCCTTATTCCAGTGCATTTCCAGTGTGTACACTTTGACACTTTGCTTCTTTCAGTGCTGCCAAATGATCAACCTTCACTTATTTCCCCCTTGCTGCTGACCAAGGAATTGGGGTACACACATTTCTCCTACAAAAATCAGCCCAGACGGTTGCCTTCATCGCATTGCCAGTCTTCTTCAGCTTCTGTTGCAAAGCTCCATGTTAATCACCTTACTATATTTTTCATTTGTTTTATAACATTTGTTGCAATGAATGAAGAAATATGCTTAAGGGGAGCAAAAGTCCAGGGTCTAGATAAAAAAGCATCCTTGAACCTCATGTCAAGAGCATCTCAGACTGCTGTTGATCATTTCTGCATTGCAGTGTCTGACAATGCTGTGTTTTAGCTCCAAGTAAACCAAGTGAAATGTCTTTCCTGTGATTGTGGTGTTCTTCCAGCAGCTAGACAGGCTTTGTGCTTCACAGCTTGTGTAGGTGGATGTTCTTTCTGCCTTGAGAGAGGTTTAGAAGTGATAAACCATATTTCAAATCATGTCTTCATTCATCTTGTGCTGGGGACAGGTGACACGGGTATTTAGGTTCTTGCTTTAGCCATCCATATACCTACTGCCTTAGTGGAGGAGTTACTGGCACTCAGTAAAGCTGCTGATACACAATGTTGGCCTGCTAGGCTGTAATCTAATACATCTGAAACTAATCCCCCTTACTGTCTGATGTGAGAGACCTATAACCCTTTACTGTGAACCCTCTCCCCTTACAGCTTTTATTGCAGGGTATAAAATCAAGGCCTTCTGGACCTGTGTGGAGCTTGGCCTTACAATATATCAGCTTGATACCAGCTCCTGCTCTAACAGCTGAGGTCGATAGAGCTGTAGTGATTTATACCGTATGATCCAGTGTTTCATACGGTGCATTAATGACATTTAGCCAGAGTGAAGTATAAAACAATGCCAGTTTGCTATTAGCAAAGCCATCAGAAGAGTTTCTCTGGTTTGTAAATCCTATGAAGTTTTATCTTCACTGGCTTCTGAACACTGGGAGAACAGGCCTGATTTTATTTTTGTGTCTCAGGCATGCATTTCACTGATTCATCTTTGCTGTGGGGTTTTTCTTTTCAGTTTTGGGTGGTGTGTGTATGTATATGTATAGCTAGTCCTAGTTTATACCTCTGCTGGAATAAGCACATCTCAAATCCCTCTCTGCGGAGGGTACCACCCAGCTGCTGGTGCATCAGCCTGTGTGGATGGAAATAGTTACTGAGGGTAGGACATCCCTCTTCCTGCGAAATTCTCCCTCTCAAGTAGCTTTAAATGCTCTGCTGCTTGGATCAGTTATCACAGCATTACAGCAGCTGGATGAGCTGAAATAAGTAGGGAAGCTGAACAAAACCATTTTCTTTGTTACAAATGCCAGCAGCTTGGAATTGGTGGCATTTTTCCATAAACCCTCCCAACCCTTTGGTAGAAGTTTTAGAATTAAAAAGTAAGGAAGAGTCCAAATGATCTTCTTTGTGACCAGGAGTGTTTAGACTTCAGGAAGAGAAACATTTCCAGTCCCATTTACTGCACTGTACCTGTCCTTTATTGCTTTGATAGTATAAGCCAGAGCAGGCTGGTGTTCAGGAAGTCTAGGTCTCTCCCTTAAGACCTGCTTCTAGCTATTCTTCTCCCTCTGGATTTCTAGTAAATCTGTGTATATTCCATTCTAAGTACTTTGTTCACAGTGAGAATCTACTACATTTGCTACTGAATTTTTGACATTTCTTTAAAACCTACATTATTTAATCCAGCCCTTGGGATGTTTGAAACACTCTAGCATAGATTTCCAGAGCTTCAATGGGGATTTTGTTCGTGTCAGAATTTTTAATCATCTCTTTCTAGCAGATTTAAGACCCAATTTGTAACTTGCTGGTGGCTTGTGAAGCAGAGAACATAGCAAGATGCTCAAGAATTGCAGCATGCCCACATTGTTTTCATAAGCAACAGTTTACACAAGTCACTTATTTGCTAACTATTTCCATGCATCATGAATGCATTTACAGTAAAGCAGCTCTTGTTCCTCCCTTCCCCAGCACCTCCTGGTAAAAGTGACATACAGGCCTCTTGCATCTTCTGTTCATGTAAAATTGCAATGTCATTGCAGCTAAGTTAAGTTTTCAACCCATCCCTCTTCCTGTTGTCCTTCATCTGCCTATTCCCTCTGTGACTTTCAAATGCTAGAGTTTGTTTTCAGCATCCTTGTGAATGGCCAGTACAGGAGCACAACTGAAAAATGTTTAGTAGGTAGAGCTGGTAACATGGCATAAACTTCTCAGCTTAGGCAGCATCTAAGCACTCAGATAATTGACATGTAAATCTACAGTCAGCTTCTTGTTCAGCATAAGTCAGCACTGCTCCTCTGAAGTCAGGAGTGTGGTGATTTATACCAGCTGAACTCCTAGCTCATGCCTTCATAAAGGTTGAGCTTCTGAGCTTGTAGCTCCTCTCTGAACCCATGTACGTGTAAAACACATCAGCTCTCTTGTAACTTACCATCCTGTTGCTCCTTGGAGAACTCGATCTGTTGGAAGGAAATCAATCACAAAAAATAGCTTAGGAGGGGGGGGCTGGGGGAGAACCTGTTTGTTTCCTAAAGCATCCAACTCAATCCATGAGTCATCTTCCAAAACAGCAAAAGTGGGTCTGTCAGATGTGCAGAAGTAATGCAGATAGCAAATGAGCTGTTAAGGCTAGTGAATCTTTAGCATTTGGTGGCCATTATGTACCCCCTCCTTCCCCCTGGTAAAGTTTAACTTTTATTTCACTTACCGTTAATTTGGTCAGGAGTGAAGGACTGCAGTTGGGAAGAAAAAGAGAGAAAAGAGAACTAGTACTGCTGAAAGTGCACTGAGAGAAAGCAAATAGCACGGAGTAGCTGAGCGCTCACATCTGTCTTGCCTGGTCTAATTAGGCCATAGCAACCTAAGCCAGCAACCTCCCTTGTAAAAATGCATCACCAGATCTATTCTTAAAGATTCCATTAAAATCTACATCCCAGGGCTGTGGAAAGAAGCAGCAAAAATCTAAAGTCTCTTAGCTAACAAAGAAGTCACTAATCAGATCCTTCATTCTTTTAGTATAGACCCATTTCATTAAGACTATTTGAAGCAATATTGCTTAACAAGCAGCTTGGGTTTTTTATGCTAACATAGAAATTAAACCAATCTCTTAAAGCTTGTGTTTCAGATCACTTTTTGACAGTACAATGTTTCATAAAGTCCTAAACATGATATTTTCTTATATTAAAAAATATTACTCTGTTCCTTTGCTACTTTAGCAAAACTAAACTAAAATCCTTCGCAGACAGCAGTAGCAAATTGTAACCCTCCTGTCTGAAGCTATAGGAGCTGCATGGCTACCACTGCCTGGTGCAGAACTGGAGGCTAACCGGAGAACCTTGCATAGCCCTTTAGGTTTAAGGAGGAAAGCCAAGCAAACCTAAGCTGTCTTCTGGTCTGTCCTTCCCCCCGCCCAGAACTACCTTGTGCAAGAAGCCTGATTTACTTAGGTAAAATACACTGGCTTGCTGCTAACCATTAGCTTTCCAGTGGACCCACCATGGTTGAGTTGGAAAAGCAGAGCAGCTGACGGGCAGGAGGGATTAGCTGAGAGGTCTTGAGAATGGTCCTGCTTTCCTGGCCTTTCTTCCCTTTATTTATCCAGTGGTGCTGACGGCATTGCCTGGATTAGGTGTCAGAAGGAAGCAGTCCCTCCCCTTGGCGAGTTCTTTAGCTTTCTTAGGGCAAAGTGACAGGAGGCTCCATGTCTTGATGGACATCTGATGATGGCTATTTTTAGGAGGCTGGAGAGGGGCAGGGAGTGGCAAGCAGTAGGTTTGATTCAGGTCAGCAGTTTCTGGATCCATACTGTCAAAAGAAGATATTCCTTGTCCAGACCTACCAAGACTTCCTTCTAGGGAAGGACTCTTATTACTCCAATAATATATATGAAGTCAGAGAGCAAGGAGTGTTGAGGGTGAGAGGTGCCACGTGTTTGTCCAGCTGTCTGGTTTTACGCGTGGCTTGTAGGTTGTGTTAGATGCAGCTGGATGGTCCTCGTACCTCTGCTGAGTTTTGCCCAAGCCTTTAGGTGTTAATGCAGCGCTCAGGACTGGAAGAGTGGTGCTGCTGCTTGTCTGCTCAGTGTGATCCAGTTGTTGGCACTGAGGAGAAGATTAACCTGTTGATGGAGGTGGTGTCTGACTGTGAAGCTCCTCTGCACTGTTTGCATTGCCCTGTTTTCCAAAGCTTGAACATTCTTTAAGGCAGAATTTATCCAGTTTTGGACCCAGCTGTTGCCAGAGGTTAGCAGCTGATGTGTAGAGGTACCCTGCAGAGTGCTGGGAGAGCCTGTGCTCTATAGGATACTTCTTCTAGGGCTGGGGTTAGGCAGGGGACGAGCATGCCAGCTTCAGAGCTCACTGGTGTGGTGGGAGAGTAGATGTTGCTGAGGTTTTTGTGATGTGGAGGCAAACTGATAGGAGCTAAGACCCCCCAAAAGCTTTGTGAACTGAAAGGACGACTGTTCATGGTGGAGAGAGGAGTTGCAGAGTGAAAAGGGGATGTAGCACTACAAATGGTGAGTTTTCTAGGTAGGTTCCAGGAGGTAGAGGCTGCAGTTACTTCGGTGGCAAAGATTTAGTCCCACCATGTAGCATCCTGCAAGCTCAAGGTCAAATCTCTGAATTGATGCTGAGAGACATTGTAAAAGACTTAGAAAACTTTCCTCCAAACTTCTTCCTTTCCCTGTCACCTCAACTGGGTTCAACATGGAGCCAGGGTGGGAATGGTTGTGTAACAACAGACTCTCTGTTTCAAACTGAAATCCCCTCTCTAAAATTCGGTTGATTTCTTTTGTTGAGCATTCCCTGCTCCTGGTTTTCTAATGACAAAACGTGATTAGTAAGGCAAACGTTCTCCTGTAGCTCACTTCGTCACCCTGAAGATAAGCATAACGTGTGAATGTCTTCAGTATATTGAGGGCTCTGAGAGCAAGAATCAGACCCAAGAACTGGTTTTGGTTTGATTTGGGTTTGGTTTTAAACTGAACAATCAAAGTAAGTCAAAATATTTAGTTGGATTTGAGACATTAACCTCCTACGTCCTGTTTTAAAAACTAATGATACAACTGCAAAGGGTTTTCTAAGCTCAGCATTTCAGCTGGAAAACATTCTGGACCAACAGATCTAGTTGCATTTTTGAGAACTAGTTGGCAAATATGGTGAGTAGGGAAAAATGCCCCACTGCCAATCTTCACTTTTGTGTTTTCTGCTATTTGTAATCTATTAGCCCGGGGGATCAGGTATGTATTCAGGACAAAGTGTAGTCATGACCAGGTGTGGCTGTATAGAAAAGGGGGTTGATGCTGTTGTCTGAATTGGCTAACACAGGTTAAGCACAGTGCAGACCACCTGGTTAACACTGGCTGGAACTCAGTGAGAAAGCTAATATGGATCTTGGCCATCAGTCCCACTGCAGTAATAGAAGAGCTTTCTAAAGACTCTGGCAGAGCTGAAATGTTGCCTGGGTCAGTTCAGTGTGTTGCCTTTGATGGAATTTTCCTCCTGCCCTTAGCCTGTGGCTCTCCAGTGCTGCCACTGGGAAATGTTCTCCTGAAAACAGGGTTTTTTAAAAAATATCTATATATAAAATTAAGGAAAACATAGAACAATTTTCTTGAATGTTTTTTCTTCCTTCTTGATAAGCTTTATGGTTGGCTACAGCAAAACTTGTCCCAAAAGGCTTTGGATGCCAAGCAGAAAATAGTTTAGGTGCATTTGGCTTGGGCATAGAAAACTGATACCTGGATTAACCATGTGGCTTGAATGGGCTATCAAATATGTACAGATTGAGAGAAGTCCACTCATAAACTGTGAGACTTTGGCTCAGAATTTAGATGAGGAAATACTAGCACACCACATGAGCCCTTTATTACTGATTCTGAATAAAACCTCACAAGAGTTTTGCTGGGGAGAAATATTCTAGCAAGAGCATGTTGCATTCACTTGACTTAAGAATCACCTTGCTTTGAGCCAATAGTCTATTGGGTGCTGAAAATGCTACTTGCTTTGAGTAAGGGTACCTACAAATGGCTACAGTATAGAAAGTATTTCAAGCATTCCTTAAAAGAAACTAAAGGTAGGATTTCTGGCTCTTTAAGGAATGCTTATAAGCTTCAAGACATAGAAGTATTTTGCAGTGATCTGATCTTTGTTTTGATCCTGGCAATGGCCATTGCATTATCAGAGAACGTGTCTTGAGGCTTTAGGGAAGATGTTCAAAGTTTAGGGAGTTTGGCTTTACAAAAAAGAATGCATCTTCCCCAGAGGAATAGTGAAAGCTTGAAGGAAATGCAACATGTAGCAATACCACAAGGACCTGCACTTCTCTAACTTGGCTTAGCCCTTGTTTATGGACAGAGTTATTATCCAGAAGGTTAGCAGTGCCCAAGGGGGTGTGTTTGGGTTGGGTTTTTTTGTGATTAGGGTTTTTTGTTGTTGAGTTTTAAGATTAAGGCTTTTCTCTGTATAATATGTGACCACCTTCTGGTCATCTTGTTGCTTGATAGAAACGTTTTGACCAGGTGCCATTTACATAGGATGGGGTGGATGGAGCCATATGCAACTCCTTATTGACAGCTAAACAGCAGACCCAATCCACACACATCTTTATTTCCAAATTATTACCAAAGTTCCTAATTTCCCAACAAATCACTGGTTCATGGGCCTTAAGGCCCTGAGCTTTGCAGTGTGGTGCTGTGCTCACCTTGTTCACCTATGGGGCTGAGTACAGCACTGCAGAGCGATAGTAACTTTGTGCTCCCTGTAAATGTGCAGATGTCTGGGCCACGGTGAAAAGCCTTGGGGAGAGGTGCTGCTGGGAGTTAAAGCATTCAGCTGCTCCATCCCCTTGTTACCCTTTGGGTGAATTATGGAGAAGGGGATCATCTTAGCATTTTATTAGAGGGTCACCAGGTATTTCAAAGTACTCTCTCTGTAGAAGAGACTAAGAACGTATCAGATGTCTTGGAAAATCAAAGAGGGGAAAATCTGAGAGTCCCTCAGGATACTCACTGTATATTTAGCTTTCTGTTCAAGACTGGTGGGATTTCTCTATTTTTGGCTGGAGATAAGGTAGGATTTTGCCTACAGCAGTTCATATGATACCTCCTCACCATTAGTGCCTCCTCCTTGATTAACACAGCTGCACATCTTTTCTATGAGCCATCACTGAGTGCAGGATTACACAGCTCTCAAACCCCTTTGCAAAGCAGGCTGTGATTCCCCTGTCCCTCACCCTGGTTTGACAGCCCTTATGATCGATGCCACAGATTTGAGAGAGGCTACATTTAAGTAAGAATCAACAGCCTGATGGATTTACCCTCATTTCTTTTATGAAGCAGAGAAATATTAGGAGCAGATATGCCCTTGAGAAAGAGAGCTCTGTTTGGAGAACAGAGCACCTGGAGACAGATGGAGAAAGACTACAACCACCATTAATACAGGAGAGAAAATTGCATGTG